ACAAGTACATTTTGATTGACAGCTTTTTAAAAGCCCGAACCCGTTTACAGCCCGACATTATTCAAATGTGCGCACGCACACAGCTCTTTTGCCTTTTGTCAAGAATGAGTCATTTATACATGTTTTAACATCATTTATTCATGACTAACGTAGGCTATAGGCCACTTGGAAGTTGGAACAAAGAAATAAAATAAGTCCTCTGTAACATCGTAACATCTCAGCACTCTAAATAGGCCTAGGCATACACTTAGCCTATAAATAAGCCAACACGCCAATAAAAATGAGTCTTTCTTAACAAATTAAATTAAGATAAATTCTAAATTAAGATGGGTATTTGGCAATAACGAAATTAAGATAAAGGCTCCGTGGGATTTGCTTCGCCACTTCTCCACAATCCGGACTCAACGTGACGGTGAATAGCAGCTGAAATTTAATAAAAGAATAATGCCAACATTAGCCTATATACGCTGTCTACATTATGCATTTAAGACTCAATTAATATTTAGTTATAATTTGAAAAACCTTTACTCACCAAGATAAGGCTACATGTTTTTGTGGAGGAAAATTATTGAATCCACTGTAGATGGCTTCAGCGCGGTCCTGCGCTCACTGATGGTGTGTCCAGCAGCACTGAACACCCTTTCACTGCTGCTGCTTCTGGCCGGTATGCATAGTGCTGATCTGGCTAATTTTGCAAGTTTTGGGTAGGATGGTTTGTTGATCTTCCACCAGCCAAGAACATCCATTTCATTTTCCATGACAGCCGTTTCAATGTAGCGAGTGACCTCGTCATCTTCCCAGTCAGCTTGCTGTACATTTTTTACGGGTTTGACTCTGGAGAGCTCTGGGTCTCGAAATCTCCACATCTAGTGCACCGGCAGCCATGGCTTGCAGAAGAGTGCGGGCATGAGCATTTACGGCATTGCTGAGTGTGACAACATTCTCAGCTGGTTAAATTTTGGCCAGAGGAATGTTGCGATCTTGTGGAGGTCCTGTATTTTCACTTTACGCACGAGCCAGTCTTCGTGCCGTTTACGCACGACAGCTTGCTGTAAAGACATTAGGACTGACAGTGGCGTTTCAGTTTCTCACACCAGAGACACACACGATTAAGTGTTGGATACTTGTCTCCCTCAAGTTCCCGCTGTGCTTCATAGAACGGCTTCAGAAAGTCTATCAAAAAGCCCAGTGTGTCCGGTGTTATTTTTTCAATGCGTGCGCTCTCCCCTAGTGCCTCCAGCTTTTCATGGAGCTCATGATAAATGGCCTGTATAGAAGTCAGTGTGAGGTACACCGTACTGAACCGAGTGTCTCCCATTTGCAGCAATGTTGTTGACAGTTGCGCAGCCAACCCCGACTGTTTAACGTACCTGACTAATGATTTAGCAGCAGAAATGGTATCTCCTATGTCCGGAGCACCGTCGGCTTTGGATAACTCGGCAATGTCGAGTCCATGGCGCAGTACCGTATTAATAACATGGTCAATGCAGTCCAATCTCTGGTATGGCCGCAGAGCTAATTTAATGTTTGCCCCCTCATCGGTCACCCATACAATTTTGCTGAGAGAGGAAGCGTCAAGGCCAAACTTTGTCACCAGTAGTTTCAGTATCTCCCGTCTTTGCCTCTTCCAAAGGGAACATTGTAGTTGTCAGGGTGCTATTCACCAGTTCCATATCCTCACTTATGAAATGGCATGTGATTGTCAAATAACTAATTTTCCGATAATCCTCTGTCCACGTGTCTGTGGTCATTGCGACTGTGCCATCCTTCAACAAAGTCTTAAGTTTCTGTACTAAAGCTTCCCTCTTTTCTTCTGCCACGTCAGTGCACCTCTTCGCAATTGTCACATGGCGGGGAATAACAGAGTTTACGGGAACCCTCCCATACACAGCCCCGACATTAATTTGTTCTTGCGCCAGCTCTTCAAACCCCTCGCCATTTACGATATTAAAAGGCCTAATGTCTTTACAGCAAAAGCTGACACACTTCTCCGTCATCGTTTGTTTCACCTCTGCAGGGATGGGTTTTGATGCTGTAACAAACGATTTGATTGTAGGTTGATCCTGGGCATTGGCAGGTGTTGAACAGCTTCGATCAACATGCCTTATCAGCGACGTTTTGCTGTCGTACTTTAACAGAATGTCGCATTTTTTGCATTTCACATAACCCACTGGCTCATTATTCTCATTATGCACATGGTCAAAACTTTTCCACACCTCGACCAAAACGTAATCGCCAGAGGCAAGCCTCCGTTTCACCTCCTCATCATCCATTTTCGCATCTTTCTCGTGCTAATCGAAACGCATCACATGACCGCTCATTTACCACGCAAGCCCAAGCCCGGCCCGAGCCTGTGTAAAATTATATAAATTAAGCCCGAACCCGGCAAAGATCTTCAGCTCTGACCACTAGTGCTACTCGTACCACACTTTGAGAACCACTGCTTTTTAAACAATCTTAATTCATTTAAATTGTATCGACATTTGCGATTATATTATATTCAGAAAACACAAACAGAGTATATTATCTTTTAGACTATTATACGATTAAAAAAATAACACCTAATGCATGGCATTCACATCAGGAAAATGTGAAAAATCTCTAAAAGAAAGACATTAACACATAACTTACCAGCAACATAACAACATCAGATGAGCATCTAACTTTAGCATCTGTGATAAAGCAATACAAAAATACACACACACACTGGTATTTATCTTCTGCAGGTTACATGCCCTTTACCCATTTGTAAACTCTGGTAACGTTATACTTTACTATTTTTGAAAGGTAATATAGATAGCGATTTTCTTACCTCATTTTGCCCGTATGTTTGCAGAACCTCGCTGATCACATCTGACCCTTCCTGTGTTCACATTCCAGTTTTTGTTCTCAGTTGACATGTCACGACTCAAATTCGCTCAAAGTATAAAAAGGCAAATATAAAATAATTCGGGACAGACTGAGCAGTTTAAATGAGCAGTAGCTCAGTCAGCTGAGCTGCCTCACTCAGAAAGACGATAATAACGGTCATATTTTCAAACTGAGAAAGGCGCGACCAGTTTCACTGGCCAGTTTCCTGGATGACAGCCAGATTAACCAATCATGATCAAAGCAGTAAGGTAAAACAACCAATAGGAATTGTTTCAGCGTGGTAACGCAGCAAAATGTATTTAGTTTTATTGTTGTTAATGATGATAATATTTTAACACATACCTTTAGATTTTAGAATGTTTCATGATCAATATACTGTAAAATGCTAGTAAAATAATAATAATGATGTTAAATAATTTAATAATATTAATTTAAAAGGCAGAAATTTATTTTGTATGCTGTTGAAACAACCAATAGGAATTGTTTCAGTGCGGTAACGCAGCGAAATTTATTTAGTTTTATTGTTGTTAATGATGATAATATTTAACATATACCTTTAGATTTTAGAATAGGTTTCATGATCAAAATATTGTAAAATGCTATTAAAATAAGGATCTTAAATAATTTAATATTAATCATTTAAAAGGCAGAAATTTATTTTTTATGCTGTTGAAGACATTAAGTTGATTCAACATACAGATCTTGTAAAAAAAAAAAAAATTACCGTTGATTTACAAGTGTTTTTGTTAACCTTTTCCAACCATTTGGCATTAAACATTTTTCAACGTTGTTTCAACGTTAAAACAACAACTGACCTTATTTCAACCATATTTCAACGTTGAAGGTCGGTCATGTGCCGGCTAGGCCTCATTGTGCATGCCCTTGGTTTTATGAAGCAAATGATATAGTAGCCTACACATGCAAATTATTTCGTTTGATCGATCAAGACGACCTAAAGAAAACCAGGGCAGCATTTTTCACAGGTTAATATTATCAATTCTAATTAACTTAAAGACATCACATCATCTTCGGGGCGCTCCTGTTTAAATAGACGATGCCCTTCAGCCCCTGAAAAGTCTTGGATCTGTGCGAAACGTGACATCTCTTTTGTTCAAAATGGCGATTTTTAAATACTAAGTTGAGCAATGTGCATCCTTGTAATAGGCTAAATATGGTTTAACTTAATATATTGTATATACTGTATATATTTTAAATGATTTAGATAATGAAAGGTAGACCAATCCTACACTTTCAACACTTTTTGCTTTATATTAGGCTGCCACACAAAAAAACTAGTGATGTAAAAATGTGGGCTATTTTTTATAAAATGCCTTTAAGGAGTCAATTTTTTCACAATTAGTTTTTAAAGACAAGAAGTAAATTTGTTTAAATTGTACCCATGTCAGTACCATAGTAGCTACAGTTGAAACATAAACACTCGTCTTTAATGCTGTAAAGTAGCCTAACCAGCTAATTTCAAATGTTAAAATGTCTTAAAATGCATTGACAGCATCTGATACAATAGGATTCTTCATTGTTTACAATTGATACAGTGTATTTCAACTCTACCCCGCTGACCACTCTATACATTTATCTAAATTGTATGATAACCCTGACAGAGAACCCCTGTCTTGTAAAAGTCAGAAGAGTGAATTTTATCTTCAGCACAAGCAAGGCATTTATATTTCATGTTGTGTTGCTGGGGAAAGTAAAATTGAATGTGTGAAACGTTTTTCAAAATAAAAGTGGGTACTATATAGGATGCAGACAACAAATGCAGACAGTTGTGCATTTATTTGTGCATTAAATTTTAGCTAACACAGGATATGCATGTATATGTATGTACTGTGAGCTTACAAAACATAATATAATTGTGTAATGTATTTGTTCATTATGTTGCTTGCATTGGCTAAATGCAGTGTTATATTTGTAATACTTGATGCTTTTAATTAGAAAAACTAACTGGATCAGAAGCTGTTTGCTGTCCCCAACATAATGGCTGTGCATGATGAGATCAATATTAATGACAAAAAATTTTACTGTACATACTTGGCTTGTTTGTGGTGAGTAAACTTGATTTAATACAAAAAGCTTAAGAATGTGTAATGAATTTGTTTTTATTATTCCAGCATTTACTTTAATAAAACTAAAGATGATTGCTTCTAAATGGACCACGTCATCTGGTTTTGGAAGTTGAACGTGTACATCTGGTGTTAAAAACAGTAATTCACTGTTGTCAGCATGGACTTATGTGAAACTGGAAATCTCAGAAGGTAAGGTTTGATGTTTCTACATAGGCCAGCTAATGTACATTTTACAAAGCATATTTTTACAAATGTATGTAAATATAAATGTCAGTTTCAAGTTCAATTCAATTTGAGACTAAATATATTTACTCTATAATATCAAGTTGTATCATATATTATTAAATATTATTAAATCCTTATTAAGAAGTCTTAATAAGGAAGGGTCTCTAAAAAGCACACTAAAATTAGCATGAAATCAACTTGTATAGTTCTGAAGCAACATGATTCCATCCTTTGTATGAATAACAGATTGAAGTTTAAGCCTTAATATTGATCAGCATACTCATTAACATACTACATCAAATCAACACAAACCTAAAACATCAAATAACATCAAATCTAGTTTTTTCTTGCACTTCATATGACCAAACTTCGTGACATTTGAGGTTTGTGTTGCCATATTTCATGAAATCTGTGTAGGCATTTACCAACCAGGTTGGCAATTACTGGACAAAACTGATGGTATTACAAAACATGGATTGCAAAGCAATTGGTGTTACAAAACATGGATTGTGAATGCTACTTATTATTAAGTTTACTTTCATATTCACCATTGCTTGCAAAATTCCATGAGTGAATTCCCATAATTTCAAAAGGACTTTGTACAAACAGAAGTTTCAGTTCCCTATCGATACTTCACTCGTACTGCATCTTGCTAAAAGATGCTATGGGAAAAGCCTTTTTTCTCCTGAACTGAAGCCTTTTTTTTCAATCATGCAATGTAACTGCATGGCCATTGGTTCGTGCAGTGTATTAAAAACGAACCAATGGCTCGGCAGCGGAGCTGCACGAGCTTATTGCGAGGAAGCCCGCCAGAATGGGTGGGGCCCATCTGGCTATATAAGCGGGCGCTTTGCCACAGGATTCTCAGATTAATTCTCCTTCAGCGACGACGATCATCTCTTTGCTGTTCTACGAGACTGGAAGCCGCTCGCCATTGACACGCCTCGCTGCAGACAGAAGCTGATTCAGAGACCTGCGCCACTCTGCTGTTCTCGCTCTGCGCTTCCAGCCCGAGCCACTTTCAGCGTCCGCGCAGCTCTCAGCTTGTCCCCTGCTGCTATCCGGTGAGTTCTAAATAGCAAATTTCTAAAGAGCAAATTTCTAGTGACTTTGTTGCAAATGTTGCACTGTGAGTGTGGCTCGTGCAGGGAATCCTGAGACTCAGGGTCAATTTTGCCAAGAGCGCGCTGTCCCCCAGCCAACAACGAGCTGTCTCGGCTGCTCTCAGCAGACCCGTGGCCCATTCCCCTGAGACGGGACCTCCTCTCTCAGGCAAACAGAACGATATAGCACCCCCAGCCAGAGCTGTGGGCTCTGCACCATTGACCTCTTGATGGGAGCTTGTGGACCTCCCCGAGAGCATACTAAATACAATCTTTCAGGCTAGAGCGCCATCTACGAGATGACTCTATGCCCTTAAATTGTCTGTCTTCTCCGCCTGGTGTACAGCCCGTGGCGCAGACCCAACTTCCTGAGACATATCTCTGATATTGTCCTTCCTGCAAGAGCTGTTGGATAAGGGCCGTTCCCCTTCCACGCTCAAAGTCTATGTAGCAGCCATAGCAGCCTCTCACACTTAGCGGGCCAATCGGTGGGCAGGAACAACTTGGTTGTCCGCTTTTTGAGGGGGGCCAGGAGGCTGAATCCGCCTCGCCCCCTCACTGTCCCTACATGGGATCTGCCCACTACGAGCCTCTACAGTCTACTGACCTTCGGTCACTGTCACTAAAGACTGCTCTGCGTCTAGCACTAGCATCGATAAAGCAAATAGGAGACCTGCAGGTGCTTTCCTTTAGCCCTGCCTATCAGGAATTCAGGCCCAAAGACTCCAAGGTCGTCTTGAAACCAATTCCACGAGAGGCGTCGCCTCGTCTTGGGCATGGTCTAGCGCTGTGTCCATTACAGAAATCTGTGCGGCGGCCGGCTGGGCCTTGCCGTCCACATTTGCTAGATTTTATAACCTGGACATCCCGGCCTTGCAGGCCAGGGTCCTTTCTGCTTAAGTGGGCACACACTTGCGTTATGCAAAACAGTTCTGACAGACAGTCCTTGACCATGACACGCTCATGCTCTTCAGGCATGACCTCTGTGAGTTTAGCCCATTTTAGCCTTGGAGAATATTGTTATACTTCCCTATTGGCATTAGATGCTTAAAGAGGTTATAGTATGCAGTCGTTTCTCTACCATAGCATGGTGTAATTGTACTGGGGTCCCATAGCATCTTTTAGCAAGAGGCAGTGCGAGTGAAGTATCGATAGGGAACGTACTCGGTTACTAACGTAACCTCGGTTCCCTGAGATACGGGAACGAGTACTGCATTGCTAGCCGTGCTATGTAGCTGCACGACTCAGTCGTCGCTTCAGTCGAAGTAACCTGAGGATCCTATGGCAAAGCGCCCACTTATATAGCCATATGGCCCCGCTCATTCTGGTAGGCTTCCTCCCTATAGGCTCATGCAGCTCCGCTGCCGAGCCATTGGTTCGTTTTTAATACACTGCACGAACCAATGGCCGTGCAGTTACACTGTGTGATTGAAAAAAGGCTTCAGTTCAGGGGGAAAAAAGGCTTTTTCCCATAGCGTCTTTTAGCAAGATGCAGTACTCATTCCCGTATCTCAGGGAACCGAGGTTAC